CCAGTTTCTCCTCAACTACCCCTCACTGCCAGCACTCAGGGAGTCGACACACTCATCCAGCATCAACATCCGTCCTCTGAGACACTTTGAGGACGTGACAGCAGCTGTGACAGAGCTCAGGGACAAACTACAGGACATCCTGAGAGACACATGGAGAAACATCAAACTGAGAGTAACTGAAGTGGATGTTCCACTGTCAGAACCAGAACCAAAAACGAGAGCTGGATTCCTAATATTTTCACAAGAAATAACTTTGGATCCAATCACAGCACACAGGGATCTGCTTTTATCTGAGGGAAACAGAAAAGCAACTGTCTCTTATGAACAAGAACAATTTTATCTTTATAATAAAAGCAATAATAATCCTTGTTTCCTCGCCCTGAGCAGAGAGAGTCTAACTGGACGTTGTTACTGGGAGGTGGAGTGGAGAGGAAGAGCTATCCGTGTAGCAGTTTCATCTAAACAGGCAGATCAAGTTATATTTGGATCAAATAGTAATTCCTGGGCATTACGTAGTGATGGAAAAAGTTACATATTTATCCACAATGATGTGAGGACTCCAGTATCAGGTCCAGTTTCCTCCAGAATAGGAGTGTACCTGGACCACAGAGCAGGTATTCTGTCTTTCTACAGCGTCTCTGAAACCACGACTCTCCTCCACAGAGTCCAGACCAGATTCACTCAGCCTCTATATGCTGGGATTTGTCTTTATCTTGGAGGCTCTGCTGAGTTCATTAAATTGAAATCCAGCTCCATGTGTTTAAAATACTCATTTTAAACATGTCAATTTTATGTCAATTTATTTGCCATTTCTTCACTGCTCAAAAATCAAATGTGTTAATCTAGAATAATGTAAAACTTACTGGGATTTGGGTTTCAAAATTATTTAAAAGCCAGCTCTTTTATTTTTTACTCGTGCTGAAGCTTTGTATGTCAATGAAAAGAATATATATAAATTTATTTTTTATTCTTTTCAAAGTTGTTAAGACTGAAATCAAAATTATAACATGTAAAATAAAAATGAAAATACTTTTGGTCATCTTTCTCACAAGTCAAACACACATGCAACTTAAATAAATTAGTTATTTTTAAGTGTCGTGTCTCAGTGCACCTGCAGTTTTTTATTGAAAGAAACTAATTTGGGGAAAAAATTATCTGGCCTGATGTTTTTTGTTACTTATATAAATGATTGTCATCTTTGTCTTTAAAATACCAAAAGTTCCACTTAACTTTATATTTTTCCATCTGATTATGTAATTTTTAAATAGTAAATGATTGATAATTTGATCGGTACTTGAATAAACTTTTTACCAAATACTTTTTCACTCTTTCTTGATTAATTTCTTGGACGACTACTTTTAACTTTTGAGTAAAAATATGTTGAAGTAGTGCTGCTCTTATTGAAGTACAATATTTAGATAATCTACCCTCTTCTGCTTACAACTAGCTTTTCTGCAAAAATTAGGAGCTTGTAAAAGTCAATATATAAATTAATAATGATAATTATTATTACATAATAATTATTACACCTGTAATGATTCCATTGGTAGATTATTTTCACATATAACAAGACATTCTCCCCTTGTTATAAGTGAAGTAATCTATCAGTGGAACTATTACATTTTCATCAATATTAATGAATTACTGACTTAAAACAAGCTAATATATTTTGCTGAAAAGTTTTGTATAAGTTAGTTTTGTCTTATTTTAAGTGTAACACCAGACTGGATAAAACCCGGCAGCTGAGAAACTTTCCTAACAGCCCGATGGCCAAACATGGCTGAAATTATTTCAGAGAATTTTTCACTCTAAGACTAGAGTTGTGGAAATCCATTATCCAATCCAGCAGTGAATTTCAGGCCTTTCAGGTCATTTACTGTCAGAATAATTGTTTGGAATCAGAGTCAAGAGTTCAGTCATTTATTGCAGAAACATGTTTGTAATTCAAACACCTGTAAACACAGTGAACAGCCAACATGGCCCTCATTCACACAGAAACACAATGTGCAAACATTAACCAGCAAACACACTTCACATGGAAAAATAAACTATCTTTGGGCATAAATAAGAGTATAAACAGGAAGCGTTTATCCGTAGCTGCCGTCTGGAGGTCTGTAGAGTTTGGGGAAAGTGAGGAGCTGAACGCTGCTGAAGGCGAACTTCCTGGTGCCGATGTTCTTCTGGACGTTCTCCGTCCTGCAGCCGTCCCTGCACACATATGGAAACACAGATCAGCAATCAGGCGACAACATCCTGTATAAAACACATCCTCCTCTGGTGGAGATAAGATTTTACTTTGACTAGACCTATGGTCCTACAAGAACAGAGGCGACCTGCACATACAGTCTGTAGGCTACAATAAAACACACAAAAAATGTTACCAAGTATTTTTGATCTAATACACGTAAAGTAAGACAAAACTAAAGTTATAAGCAACTTTGCAACAATTTACAGGAGCTTGTTTAAAGTCAATAATTCATTAATATTGCAGAAAAAGTGCTTGTTCCACTGGCAGATTATTTCACTTATAACATAGGAAAAATGTTATGAGTGAATTTATCTACCAATGGAACAAAACAAGTTCATATACATCACTTAAGTTATTTATAAGTCATTTTTCTCTCTTTTTTTAAGTGCAGTGAGACATTTGCTCCAGAAACTGGATGAAAAACACTTGGTAAAATTTTGTTTTTGCAGTGTTGAAATTCAATTTGGCCACTTGGTGGCAGCAAAACTCAACATAAAAAACGAAGCTGTCAGAAATAAAACGATAACCAAGCGTCGATAAATTAACAGGCAGAGATGAGGAAACGTAGGAAAAGATTTGGACAAGTCAGAAGCTGAATCTTAACAAATAAACATCAGATTAAATTGAAAAATCAGTAATCTATTGTACTAAAAACTCAAACATTTTTGCTTTTTGTAAAACAAATTCAAACTGACTGATGTTTGTACATGTGGATGGTAATAAGTTGAGGCTGACTGCTTCTCCATCTCTCCTAAAACACAGACATCGTCTTTTTCATCCTTTAACAAATCAATAAGTTTGGTCTCATTTACGTTCTCCCATTGTGGACAAACCTAGGAGAACAATATCATCCCTGCTTCCCAGTGCTCCCAGTCTTGTTTACTGGTACTTTGCCAGCAGGATCACCAAGCTGAATATGAGCCAGAGAACCAGGAGGTGAGAGGTCACCAGGAGGAAGGCCACTGGGTAAAAGTGTCTTCTGGAATGAAAGCACATCTGGATCCAGGGGCTCTGGAGGCCAGAGGGACACTCTGCCGGGTCAAACCCAGAGACAGAGAACCCAGAGTGGGCATAGCAGCCCAGCATCTGCCCCCAGGACAGACGAGACCTGCAGGGGGCAGCGTGAGTGGAGCAGGAGGGAGTGGAAGAGAGAAAAAACAGAAAGACAAGGAAGGAAATTAAAAGAAAGAACTGAAAATGAAGGTAAAAGATGAGAAATAAAGATGCAGAAACTGAGGATGTTTTCACACCTGATAGTAAAATCGGTTCATTAAAAACAAAAATACCAACATTTGTTACATTGTCAGCTGCTGCGATTCACTTCACACCAAACTGAGTCAAACAAACCAAATTAAATGGAAAAGCTGTTCCCCTCCTCGCCTGTGGGGGCGCTGCACCAAGAACCACTGAAGGAAACGACACAGAGCGCAACGTCCTACTGAACAGGACTGGTGTGAACGCAGCCTCAGAAGAAGACGAGCAGAATAAGAAACAGCTGAGAGTGAAAACACACACACACACACACACACCTCCTCATGTTGTCCAGAGCAGAGCTGAACTGCTGCTGGCTGAGTGTGTGCTGCTCTCTGAGGATCGAACACTGCTCCAGCGTCACAGACATCGCCGTGCGATCCTTCGCGCTCTTACAGCTCGTCAGTCGCACGCCGTTTACTTTACGACACACCTGCACGCAAAGAAACATGGAGAAGATTATCAGTAACTCAACCTTCATCCGTCTCTGAGGCTGTTTTTGAACCTGATAGTTCAATAGACTCAGTTCTACTGGGGAACAAAGGGGCAACATTTGCTACATTTTTAGTTGCTGCAGTTTGTTTTCTCACTGCAAACCAACCAAAACTAGTTGAAAAACCAGTTCCCCTCCTCACCTGTGGGGGCGCTGTAGCAAGAATCACTGAAGGAAACGACACAAAAACCTCTGAAGAAAACAATGAGCACAACTTCCTTCTTAACGAAACGTAAACAAAAATGGAGCAAAGTTGGAGAGTTAAAACTCGGTTGTTGTTTTGGAAATCTTCTGATTATTTATTTTATTTTAATTTGTTTTTTAAAATGTCACAAATGGTGTCCCTCAGGGCTCAGTATTGGTGCCAACACTTTTCACTATTTAAAGTTACAATATGGGTCAAAAAGTTCCCACTTCCATGCAGATGATGTTGTTTACTGATATTCAAACTCAGAGGCTCCAGAGTTACTCAGTCACATTTATTCTACTTTAAACTGGAATTAAAGACTGAAGGAAACTAAATCCAAACAGTTCTCCCTGTGATTTTATTCACATAAACTACCAGTTGATTTTGTCTTTGTTTAATAAATTCCTTGTTTTATTAACTAATTAAAGCCCTATTGTAAGTAAAAATCTTCTAAAACACTAAACTAGAGTTGAGCGGTGGTGTTTTAATATTTACCTTGTTTAAAAACGGTAAAAAAAAGAAAAAAAAACTTCATTTCATTAATTAATTTTTAAACAAGGTAAGTCTACCTTGAACTGAAGAAAGTTCACTTTCTGTTTTAGCATTATAAACATGTATTTCTCTGTTTATTTCAGCTCTATCCCGAACCTTTCAGTTCTGACGGTAACGAAGTCAACCTGCAGAGCGACTTACTGAAGCTGCGAGCCACAAAACCTCCACGTTTTTCCTCTTCTTGGACTCCATACTGCGATCAAGAGACGACAGCAGGTCTGATAGAGACTGGATACCAGCTGAGGGAGAGAAAGAGCCGCTTCAGTTCAGGACCAATGATTTACCTCTAAACGTCCCAAAATTAATATCATTATTATTATATTACCTCGTTTCTACTCAGAGATAATAAAGGAATAAGGCTGATTCTATCGATTCTATAAATTAACCAAACTTTCGGTTTTGAAGATAACATTTTTGGAAAATCTGGATTTTTTTTTCACTAATGCGTTCCTTGGCCCACGGCGGCCATCTTGTTTGACAAATGAGTTTCACAGCTTTTATTTTGAAATCAGGTCAATTCAAATAAACAATAATTGAAATAAAAAATGTTTTTTTCTGTCATTTCAAACTTTTTTAAAGGAAACAAACTGGGATTAAAAAAATTGTGAGATTTTATTTTAAAGTTCTTTAAAGAGATGAAACAAAAACCTGGCGGCGCCTCAGTCTCACCCATGTTAGGAAGTTTTTCTCTCAGCTTGTTACAGTAAGCTTTCAGACGCTCACAGCTCTGCTGGTTCACTCTTTCCTGAAGAGAGCTGTCTCCAAACCTGAAAACAACAGAAAATAACTCTTCATACACAGGGCCCACACGTCTGAACAGGAAGTGAACCGCGCCATCTTGGTAGGCGAGCGCAGCGCTTAGCGACCGATGGCTCCAAGACCAACAGAGAGATAATATGTGGAAACTCTGGATCCATGTGTGAGAGGAAGATACAAGAACAAAACGGCTGCTGTCGGGACAGAGAAGGAAAATATGTGTCTGATCTGATACTACGATAAAGTTTATTACCAATTCGAACAACATGGAGGAGCTTCACCTGAGATCCATTTATTTAAACGGCTTTTTAAAGAACGTACGAACTTTTTGTGTGAACAACGAGGTTCTGGTGACTGGCAGAGTAAGTTCATGTAGCAACAAACACAGGATACACGTTTTAGCTAGCAGACAGAAGCTACATTAGCTAAGCTAGTTTAGCAGCAAGTACTGCAGTAAATCACTGACACTTATCTTAGTATTACACAGAGGTGGGTAGATCAATTGCAATCAGGTAATGGTAGTAATCAGAGTTGGGTAGTAAGTAGTTACGTTTACTTCAGTCACATTTTTGAAAACGTACTTTTAGGAGTATTTTTCCTATGCTATACTTTTTGCTTTACTTGAGTAATTTTATTATGAAGTATTTATACTCTAACTTGAGTAAAATGTCTGGATTCTCTAAGGTCACTGAACGAAAAACAAACATGTTTTAACCTGAAATTCAAATAAAAGGAAAACGCTGGATGAAAAAATGAGGCGGTTTTAACTCCCAGATGTTGTTTTTGTGTTTGTACCTCTCAGCCAGACTCTGGTGCTGGTTGATCCCGATGTTGAACAGAACCGGCTCGACTCGGATCAGACGGCCGGCCTTCAGCTCCTCAGGGAGCGACCTGAAGCTTTCAGAGGGAAGCGGCACCTCGACCACGAAACCGCCCCTGGAGGAGAAATGACCCGAGATGAGGCTGCTCTGTGTGTGTGTGTGTGTGTGTGTATGCGTGTGTGCGTGTGTGTGTGTGTGTGAGCGCTCACCATGCTCCGGTGAGCGTCGGCTGCAGGTCGTCGGGTCGCTCGGATTGGGCCTCGGTGACGGCGAACGCCAGGCTGCTCAGGTCGGCCACGCCCACCTCCATGTCCTCCAGCATCCCCACCTCCTCACCTGCAGCCGCAAACGATTCACACACCAAGATTACAGCATTTAAGGTAAGTTTCCCAAATTTACCTGCAACACACTGCAAAAACACAAAAAGTCTTATCAAGTAATTTCAGTCCAGTTTCTAGTGAAAATAATACACTTAAAATAAAACTAATTCATAAGTAACTTTTCAGCAATAAGAGCTTCAGTTTCCTTAATATTGATGAAAAGCACTGAAGAACGAACCAGAGACAGAAATCTTTTCTGAATATTCAGGATTATTTGTGTTTTATTTGTTGCTGCCTCAAAGAGCCTTTTTGTCATCCTGTTAAATAAAAAAGTTGAGCTGACTGTTTTGGTCGCCGTCGTACCGTAGGTGCTGAGCAGGCCTTCAAACTGGGCCAGGATCCCCACAGACAGAAGCTGCTGCAGAAACTCTGGATCCTCCAAACCTCCAAACAGTTTCAGCATAAACCCACAAACAATCGCTGAGAGCTGGGAGACAAACAGAGACGAACTTTACAATAAAACAGGAAGTTACATTTTTATTCATATGGAACAAGAACCTGAAGAGACGATGATGACAAACCTGACCGTAATCCAACATTAAAGCAACATAAAAACGTATAAAATTATTCTGGTGTTATTTTAAAAACACTTTTTTCTTCTTTTCTATATATATTTGTAGATTATCTACAGTGTTTTATTTAAACAAAATTACTAAATAAAATAAAGAAGGAAACAGAGACTTGTACACACTGAGACGATATCAGTATTTTTTTTGCAAACAATTAAGAAAAATGTTCGTCAGAATACAGAACCACAGAAAATGATGCAGTTGTTCTGCCGGGCCACTTGGTGGCGCTGTAACACAGCCAGAGAACGACACAAAGAAGACCAAACGGCGCCATGTTTGCTATTTAAGAGAGCGAGACGCTTGAAGGACGGAGAGAAACATGGAGCTGTGATGTCATTGTATAAAATATGTCACTATGGAAACATAACAGCTGGAAGTCGGTTTAAAAAAACTGATTGTTTCTGATCTCCAAACGACAAAATGTCTTCAGGATAAAATGGCCGACAGGGCCTGAGTTTCTTCCTCACCCCCTGACTGAAGACAGCGTGGCGCCGCTGGACGATCTGCGTTGGACCCTGAGCGACAGTCGCAGCCACCGCCCCCTGCAGGACAACAAAGGTCATGGCAGCTCGGGCCGTGGTTACCGCCTCCCGCACGCAGTCTCTGAGCGTCACCACCAGGGGGAGCAGCTGCTCCTGCCAGGAGGAGGAGGAGGAGGAGAAGGAGGAAGGAGAGGCTGCAGGAAGAGAGCAGAGAAACTTCCTCTGAACATTTTACTTTTAATTTATTGTTTCTAAGCTCCAGAAACAAAAAAGTTCACTTCTAGCAAATGTATAAAGAAATAAAAACTGATAATTTCTTACAACTCACATGTAAACTTTAAGATTTTCTCTTTATTATTATCTTTATATAAAGATGTTTATTTTACAGTGAATTAACTTTTGGGAGAAGGTGAAGACCATACAAGATTTTTTTTCCTGGAACTACTCCCTTTTTTATTCAATTTTTTTTTTTTTAAGCTGTAAAAGAATCAAATAAACAAAACAAAAAAATAATAATTGAATAAACTTCCCATTGTCACACTGGACATTTAACAAACAAAAATAAAAACATTTCCACGATGCCCCCCTTTGTTTTCTTCATCTCTTTAAATTAATGGTTCGTACAAAAGTTACCAAAGTAATAAAGAAATTATAAATAAATAAAAATAATTATAGGTTTTGGTTCTAAACTAACATAAATAGATTCTACCTGCTTAAAAAACAAAATAACTAAATTGATAGAGATTATGATGTGCAAAAAAATTCTACATAAATGGTCCCAAAAATGACTCTTTATTGTTACATTCATTCAGGTATTTTGTCTTTTGTTAATTATGTTTTTATTTTGTAAAGTAACATGAGATGTGAAAGGAGTTATCAAGATTAAAATGATAAAAAAAAATCTACAGAAACAAAAAAATTGAGCTCTTTTCTAATTGAAGGACAAACTGACATTTGCCTCTTTCTGTCCGACTTGTGTGTTGGGACTTTGTGGACTCCTGTTGCTCCTGCAGGTGGCGCTGTCGCTCCTGCAGCCGCTCCACCATGTCGGTGATGCAGTCCAGACTCTTGCCGATGTTCACCCACGTTCTGTCCTACACAAACACACACGTTTACACAACCAACGGCTGCAGAAACTACCACACACCGGGTTGCCAGGTTGGGAAAGTCTCCGCTGCTTTTGAACTTTGGGCTGGAAAAATGAACAGATTTTGACGGGTTGCTAAAATTTGGGATGCTTTTCATAAAACAGTTGTCATTGTGTGGCAGAAAAGCATCAAACTTTTATTTGCTCCTTCTTTTATTCCTTCTTCATTTGTTTGTTTGCTCGTTCCTTCCTTCAATTGTTCGTTCATTTGTTCATTTCTTTTATTGTTCTTCATTCGTTCGTTCATACATGACTCTATCTAGTGTTATATTAGTTTCATTACATTAATTTGGACTTTTTGTTTAATGTTGTGTTTTTGCTGGAAACTGTCAGACCTGGCAACCTCGTCCCCCTCTCCTCCAACTTGCCCACTCATCCTCTCTGTTCTCCTTGTCGTCCTGCGGCCGCGGCGCCCCCTCCTGGTCGCCGGGGGAGACCTCACATAGCAACCCGTTGCTGTGCAGGTGGGTGCTGCTGCAGGTCCTGCTGCTCATGTCCTGCAGGGCGACTTTCACCAGATCGTCGTTCAGCGCCTGGATGAACAGCGACGTCTGCAGGGAGGGAAGCAGCGCGTCAGATTCATCTGCCTTCCTGTTAGCTGTGTGTGTGTGTTTCTCTCACCTGCTCCCTGAGGTCGTCCAGGACGTCCTGCAGGCGGTTCGGATCGACCTCCATGGAGACGGAGAGCAGCTGCTCCGCCAGGCCGAAGATCAGGGGCTGCAGCTGGGAGGCGGCGGCCAGCAGCCGCTTCGCTCTGCACAACTCGTCACGGGAAAACGGCGCCGAGCTGAAGGAGAAGGAACGTGAGAAACAACTCCAACACAAACTGAACTATGAGGTTTACACAAAAACAGCTCAGCTTTTCTCTGAAATTCTATTCTATCATGTCGGTATCAAAATAAAACACTTGAACTACAAAAAAATCTAAATTTTACAAAGTATTTCTAGTACAAATATCTTAGTGCACTTAGAATAAGACAAAACTAACAGATAAGTAACATTTTAGATAGAAGTAGCAGCTAATTTTAGTAAATGTTCTACTTCAGTCAGTGGAACTAAAACGTTAATCTTTTAATCAATATTCGGAAATTATAATAATATTTATATTTAGAATATTTCTAAAAGGTTTGCAAGGAACAAAAATATCCAAATTGTTTTATGTTTCATCATTTTCTCTGAAACTGAAGCAGCTGCTGTGATATTTATACTGATGGCGTCTCCAGCACTGCAAAAACAGAAAGTCACACCAAGTATTTCTAGCTTTGAATCTGAGGTCAAGGGTCACCTGTGTGTGTGGTCTGTGTGCTTGCTGAGCAGCCGCTTCAGTCCTCCATGTTTAAAAGCCTGGTGGTGATCGGCCGGCGCTCCGAACGTGACGACCTCATACCAAACACCTGGAAGAGAGGAAAACACCAGGAGGAAACGGGAAGAGAGGAAAACACCTCGAGGAAACAGGAAGAGAGGAAAACACCTGTAGGGGGCGCTGTGCGCTACCTGAGCTGCCGGGGTCGGTCACCTCCATCCTCTGGCAGTGCAGGTTGGTGGGGATGAACTGCAGGTGTCGGTCCGATTTGCTGCTGCTCGCCTTGAAGCACGACGCCGCTGGAGGAGGAAGAGGAGGGAGAGTGAGGTGAGGAAGGCCGGGCCGAGTCATCGTTGATGATGTCACTGTGATCTCACTGGAGAGGCGGTGAATCTCCGCCTGCGTTTGCTGGTAGCAGCCGATCAGCTGGTGGGAGTGGGCGACGGCGTCATGGCGGAGGCCGTCCCAGTGAGGTGAAAGGTCACCCAGAGCATTGACCTCCTCGACCCTGAGCAACAAAATCAAACTCTGGTTGTTTTAATTCAGTCGACTGAAACTTAACGAGGCACATCGATCAATCAATATTCAATAATTATTGACTTAAAACAAACTCCGATGTATCGGGTTAAAAGTTTTGTCTTATGTAGATGAGAAAATCCCACATGTTCCTGCTTCTGGCTTAAAGTCTTAAATTCATCGAAATAAAATAGATAAACCAGAGCAGTTTCACCAAAACATCCCATAATAGACTTTATTTATAAATAACTATAAACTCATCTCATTAACCCTTCGTGTACCTGTCGGTGTGCTCCCTGATGAGCGCGCTCAGCAGCTGTTTGGGTAAGGAGAAGGACAGCGGCGTCTCTGACATCTGCTCCCGGACCAGCAGCCACCTGTGGTCCTCCGTCTGAAACCTGTACAGCTTACACACCTGGGAGCACAAGGCTGCACAGACACACACCTGTTGGAGGACGGAGGGTCGGGCAGAAACATGGCCGCCGGCCGGAGCCTCACCTGCTCGCATCATCGGACTGTTTTCTTTGTCCTGGACGGAGCCGTGCAGAGCGTCACACAGCACGGCGCTCTGGAGGGAGAGAAGAGACGATCAGGCCTGAGTGGAGGCGAAATGGAGAGAAAACACTCTTCTTCTAGATCTATGGCCTAAACAAAACCTGTTCATCACATTTCTAATACAAAATCACTCTTAGATAATGAGATGTTAATGTTTTAGGGCCTCCTCTCACTTTAATAATAATCTGCTGCTGGTTGCGCCACCAAGCTCAACGTTCACACTCACATGCTAAACAGATGCGCAATTATGCAACCGTACATCTTTGAAAAGCAGAAGTGGAGTCTCCTGCACAACCAACAGGGACGCAGCAGGTGGTTTCTGGATGGTAAATCAACAACTAATTACTTGTCTTTTCCAGCAGCCATTGTGCAGCGCATACAGCAGTAAAACCAGCTGACCAAATGTGCTGGAGCTCAGCTTTGGTTGCTAGGTAACGAGCAGAACTCTGCTGGGGTTGCTAGGTAACAACAGAGTGCCAGTCAAATGCAATTCAACAAGCAGGAGGTTTTTGAAATGGGTAATTTTCCAGACACTAAAAAACATTAACATATTGCCAAAAATATGGTTATATGTTTTTTAAGGGCTTGGACTGTTTTTAGGAGCAGTAGAAAACCAAATGGAAGAAAAAATGTGCAAAATTACCTGATGAGTTTTCTTTAAAGCTGCAGAATGAAAGTTTTATAAAAAACATTTTTTACATATTTGTTGAAAATGTCTCTTTGTCGTGACATTATGGCATAAAACAGATAATCTGTGAAAACAATTTACAACAGTAAGTTGTTTCTCCGCTATTAGCACATTTAGCAGCGCATACGTGAGGCTGACTGACAGCACTAAGACCAGCCTCCTGGCTCTGATTGGTTGTTTTTATGCATTTATTCAGACAGCAGCAGCAGCTCAGGGAGGAGGTGGGGATCAATGTTTTCACAGTTTATCTGTTTGATGGCAGTTTTAACAAATATATAAATGTCATGTTCTATATAAAAGCTATGCACTAACACCTTTAATCTCCACCTGACTCATCACCCACATAACAAGCTGAAGTCTAAACATGCCAGAGAGGAAACCACAAAGAAGTGTCAGAGTGAGACCTCTCTGCTGAGAGAACAAACAGTTCTCTTCCTCCACCTTGTTTTCTGCAGATTTATCCTCCGTCTCTTCCTCCAGCTGCAGGCGGGAAACCGTCACGTCCCCGACCTCGTCCACGCCGTCCATCGTCCTGCAGCGAAGACAAGCAGACAGAAGACACTGCTGAAGGAGGCGGCCAGGTGAAAATAAGACCCACTGGTGTGAATGTGCTTCACCCCAGGCAAAGTTAACAAAACCAAACAAAACACTACCACAAGAAACAAAACAAGAAATATACAATGTGAAAAATGGTCTAAATTTATTTATTTTTTTAAATTTGTAGGTCGTACCAATGTGAGTTTAACCCAGTTAAATAAATGAAACCGAATAAAAAATAAGCTGAAAAAAACAAAAAGATGGTGGGATGAATTTTGGAACCAAAATAACTAGAATAATCCTAACTAAATAGAATAAAACAGGAAAAATGTAAAAGAAAAAAAAAACGGCAACAAGAGGAAACCATTTAGGAGAAAAATATGATTGATAAAAATAAACACAAAAACACTCGATGAATAGAAAAGAATAAAAATAATAATTTATTGTCCCACAAAAGGGAAATTCAGGTGTAAAAGCAACAAAGTGACAGAAAATCCAAACATGTAAATGATCACAAATATACTGTATAAAAATAGAATTAAGAATAACATACTGCACAGTTCGGGCGAAACTAAGATATAAAAACTATTAAAAACACCAAACTCCAATCCAAAGGAATGTGCAGTGGAGTAAAAAAAAAAAATCAAAATGTGAATTTGTGCACAAAAACAACAAACCATTTACAGTAAGAGACAATAAACTAGACCAAACCCATCAGGGATGTAAATCTGCTGGAGGAAGGATCTGTGATGACGCCACTTTGTTCACCGCAGACGCATCAAACACGCCAGGAAACCAAAAACCAAGCAAGAAAACATCGACCAGAAGGTAAATATCCAAAACAAAGGGAACTAAAACCAGGTCAGGAATACGAGGACTGACATGTGAGACCCGGCGGTTCTGCCTCCGACTCCGGGTCGCAACCAGTCCAACAAAATGGCCTCCATCAGACCGGAAACAGATTGTCTAACCAGGGTTTTAATAGTTTGTATTTTTCTTTAAAGTTTAGTTTTATTTCATCTTGACCTTTTGTCAGTCTGGCCATTGACCTTTGACCTCTGGCATCAACACGGCAGAACTGAGGCTCCCTGGATATTTTCTCTTTTTCTGACCGTTCTCTGTAAACCCGAGACGGCTGACAGAGAAAATCACAGTAGATCAGCAGTTTGTGAAAAACTCAGACCAATTTCACGTCAGCAAAAGGCTAATAAATATATTCTTAAACACAAAAACGAAGGATGTTATATGTATAGTTTTAGTATTTTATGAACCCACAATTTGGATCCAGTTAGTTGTAGTTCTTTCCCATTAATTAGTGTTTTTATTTAGTTACGGTTTCACCATTTCATCAGTTTTAACTAACAATAATAACCTCCATCATAACTTGACAGAGTTTGGAAGAAACCATAAGATTGTCCTCATATCTGAATCAAATCATTTTCCTCTAATCATGACCAGATTCCTACCAAAGTGAAAACTGGAGACTATAAACTGCAAGATGTGAGGAAATCACGGCTGAAAGTTTTGATATCAATGTTAAAAAGAGAAAAGTGTAAATAAATGCAGTCTCTTAATAACTTTACTACTTCTTGACATATTAAAACTTTTTGTGCTGCAACAAATAATTGTTGCAAAACACAGTAACAATAGTTTGAGATAAATTGTCCAGTTAATAGCTTTCATACGAGGAGCCTCTTTTTTTAATCTACTTTAAAAAAAAGCTGCAGATCTTCCAGTTTTCGACCTGCTGAAGTCGATAAAGGGAAATAATCAGCTGACAGATTTCTAAACAACTGATTGGTCGATCTCTAAAGGTCAGAGTCACAGCTGAAAGCAACAAACAATGGCAGCAAAGAACGAGCAAAGAGAGCTAAATATGGATTTATAGCAGCACTTTATACTAATATATGTAATCAATGGTTTTCTAGGGTGAAACCAGAAGTTTACATACCCCTTCCTCACAGTCTGAGGTCAAATCAGAACAAACTTCTCTTGTTTTAAGATAAATCCTAATAGAATCATCTAAATTATTTCCATTTGCTAAACCTGTCAGAAGTTTCTAAAGCCATGACATCATCATCTGGGCTTTCCCTCATTGCTTAAAGGTGAGGAATGATGCTTCCTTGAACAGGTTAGGATAGGCCTATGGCCTAAACAAAACATGTTCATGACATCTTCTGCACAAAATCATTCCTAAACAATGGGATTTTAGTCTGAACACGTCTGCATTTTCAGATATTTTAGGGTGTCTTGTCCCTTTAAATCCAAGTAATCTGCTGCAAGTACGCCTCCCAACTCAACATTTACACATGAAAAATGGCTAGGAACCCATTTGCAATTAAACAACAGCACATCTTTGAAAAGCATAAGTTGAGCCTCCTGCACAACCAACAAGAATGCAGGAAGTGGTTTCTGGATGGTAAGTCAACAACAAAACACTTGTCTTTTCCAGCAGCCATTGTACAACGCATGAAACCAGCAGAACAAACATACTGGAGCTCTGCTTAGGTTGCTAGGTAACAGGGGTAGGGTTGCTAGGTAACTGCAGAGTGTCCATCAAATGAACAAATTTGACATGGATAATTTTCCATTTCAACAACGTCTAGGATCCAAAATGGAAGCGTAAAAACATTTAAAATGTGAATTTTACACAATAGATCCCCTTTAAAGAGACGGTAATAACTCTGTGTAAACATCAATAAATACATCTCTGACATATTCTCTTATTATTGTGGCTTTTAGCAAACAAAATAACTCCAGCTGAACTAAAACAGGAGAAGTTTGGTCTGATTTAACTTCAAACTGTGAAGAAAACATGAATTAAACCTCTAGATTCAACTGTTAGCAGTTAGCTATCTCTACTTTATGTTTTGTTGATATTCATGCGACCCAAAAACAGTAAATCTACATCAAAACAGATCCAGTAGTGAGTCAGATTCAGACGTCAACCTGGACTGTCACCTGCAGGAAGTGACATCGTACTGGACGTTTCTGGACGGACATCATCTCAACCCTAAACAAATAAGAGTAAAAACCAGCCTGCGAAGGAAAACCACAAGCAAACTGCAAACCTGCACTGCGGCATGTGTGAGCATTCAGGCTCCTCTCTTCTTCTCTGAAGGTGATTTGATGCCAAAACAGGAAGAGACTTTTTCCTCTACTGGGTCTGGAGGCGGAGACACACGCTGCCCCATCTCACTTCCTCTTCTGGGTAAAGGTATCCGAGCAACAGCCAATCAGCAGGCAGGTAGCTGGACCCCTATCTACAGGCTGTTTAAGAAGAACCTCATTGACTACAAAAGCGTTTTTCACAAGAAACGAGAGCGGAGAGATTGAATGTCGCTCCACTTTAAGCCAGCTTAGAAAGTTCAGAGATGTTTCACAGCCGATCAGATGAAGAGATTTCAGGCTTTTTATCACTTTAATTGCAGTTTTGATGTTTTTTGATGTTTCTGGGTGATAAATTGTCCTAGAAGTTACTTCTATGAACAGTAATGTTGCTGTTTTGATAAAATTTTCAACTAATATAATGTTAACGCAATGACACTTTCTCAAAGGTCAATAAACCTTTAATTCAAATGAACATTTAACTGGAAGATGTTTTAAATATCCAAAATAAATAAACAAAACAACAGAAACAACACATAAGAGTGTTTTTGCAGTGAATCAACATGACATCAGCGGTGAAATGTAAAGTTTACCTGAGCTTCAGGGAGCAGCGAGGCTCTTTGGACCGGAGGAGATCTCTGATGGAGAACGATGTGAAACCCAAACAGCTTCTCTGAAAGACAGAGAAAAAAAACAAAGTTTTCCAACATTAATGATAAAATATGTCTAAAGGTGTATAAGCTTCAGTCATTTTACTGCACCTCTGCTGTTTGTTTTAGAGTCAAAAGAAGACATGATGGCATTGGAAAGTAACAGAGTATCATTAATAGTTTGGTCGCCAGGCTGCTGGACGCCATATTTACCTCGTTTCCATCAGAGTCACAGTGAATCAACTTTATTATCAGAGGAATGACCCAAAACCATCAGCTAATCTCACTCTGCGCTGCGCTGCTCTGTCTGATCAGGATTTATTCACCTGACCTGCTGGATTCCTGGAAGTGAAACTGACAGCTTGGCCTATTTTCTGATTAATTCAGCTTTTAATAGCCTGGCCCGTAGGGGGCGCCGGTAGGGAATCGAAATTATAATCCCAGATGATCGTTTGATGCAGAAAGAATAAAATATTACCATCGCTGTTAAAGACTCACATTATGTCCAACAGGACCTTTGATAAGAGCAGAGCAATCTTCTAGCAGAATGTCACTTTTATTTTGCTTTGAGCAAGAGACTAACGGCTGAAACAGCAAAAAGAAGAAAAATACACAGAACTATTGAAGAAAAAACTCTTTTTAGAAAAATAATTCACATTTAGATGAAGTTGATGGCAGATTTCAGCATTTTTACGACTATTTTGGTCCTGTTGAGGACTCAGCCTCTATATGCAGCACGTCTGCATCATTTATAGAGCCGCACCACAAACCGACGGCCATCTTTAATAAAAGAGTCGAGCAAAGTCCAAACTCCCCACAGCTGAAGTCACTGAGCTGCTGTGAGGATAATCAGCAGCTCAGGGGATTAAAGCTCTGAAATCAGGCGACAGAAAATCACAACACTGAAGTGAAGGGAAGCAGAGAAAAGTCCCAGAAAAGGTTTATGAAAGTCGTCATAACCTGAGATTAAGATACTTTATCAAACACAAAGGAGAAGAGCTAAAGAGGAAGACTTTGGCTCTGATTGCTAAAAATGAAGAAAGATGTTGGTTTTGGTTTTCAGATTAATGTTTTTACATTCATTTGGGTTTAGCACAAGCTAACGACATGCTACTTTTTCTTGTGTTACTAACAAGTCCAACTTGTTCCCAGTGGAGAATCTCAAAGACTTTGGTTAGGAAACATCTTTGGCACCATGAGCTAAAATGTTAGCTATGCTAACCCTAAAACATTTAAATAAACATCAGTTCTAATATCGCTAAGGTGCTATACCAACATAGTATTTAATGGAAGCTAATGCAAACGCTGATCAAACATCAGTTCCACTAATGCTAAAGTTTAAACCAACAGGTATTTAATGGAAGCTAATGCTAAAGCATTTAATCTAACAATGTTGATGCCCATCATGTGTCACAACATAGTATATCGCCCTCAACAGGTTCACACTTGTTACTGCACACCTTTTTGTAACAACTTTCACTCAGAGTTTCCATTTTATTGTTGTTGAGTTTTGCTAGCTCTGCTGCTAATTTTGGCTAAATAGCCACGGCAACGCTTCGGTCAGAAAGCATGCAGGACACTTCAAAATAAGAGCATGAGTCAATAATCCAAACTTCAACAGATGTAAACTGAAAATTTACAAAACAGACAATAAATTAGCGCTGCACCTGCAGGTATGAGTTAGCATCGCTTAAACCCAATGTTTTTGATCATTTTAGCAGAAAATCTGCAATAAACTCACAATTATGGATCATTTTAGAAAATTTCAGCGATCAGGGACTCAAAAACAAAACTGAAGGTCACAACATACAAACCCAAACAATAAGATTCAGGAAGAAAAGAGACCAAATATTTCCCACCTGCCCAGAGAAAACCTCAATACAGTTAAAAAAAATACAGGTTAAAAAAACATAGAAATACAGACATTTTTCCCTTGTCATAAGTGAACAAATCTGCCAACAAAACTAGTTGATTTTAAATAAATATTCAAGAATTACTGACTTAAAACAAGCTCCTATTTCTTTCTCAAAAGTTACTTGTAAGTTATTTTTGTCTTATTTCAAGTGAACTAAGATATTCACACTAGAACCTAAACAAATAAGTTTGGTAAAATGTTGTGTTTTGCAGTGAATCCCCTCAGACTCTGGTTCCCTCCTGAACCTGTTCACCTCAAACTTAAGGATAAAACTGATTCAACATAGTTTTTTATTCATTTATTCCAACTTTTTCTTCTCTAAACGTTCCAGTTTGTCAGACAGTATTTAGAAAAATGTTGCAGTTTAATTTCCTTTCAGCTCTTCAGGTTTTTAACTGATCAGTAAAAGAACAAGCCTGGATCCGACTGACGCGTTCAGAGAGTCTTGCAAACTTTTAAAAATTCCCTGCAGCGCTGTTACCGCATGCTAAAGAAATCCAAACCGTTGCCTCATTTCCTCGCTGGCGTTGGTGCAACAAAAAGCCGGCGTGCAGCGACACGCCAGCCGATGTTTCTCAATGAGTTCCCGGCCAAACAAGAGGCTTTCGGGATTACGAGTTAATCCTCATCAAACCTAGAAACACGACACACGCTGGACGCCACAGCTGGGTGCTAAACACCGCTTCACGTTTCATTCAAAACAAACTCCGTCTGCAGGGGAAACGAGACAAACGGGCCAAATTAATATCACATCAACAAGAAACTTTAGATTCTAGAGCAAATATCTTAGCACACATGAAATTAGACTAATGTACAAGTAACTTTTCAGTAAAATATAGGAGCTTTTTTAGAGTAAATAATTCCTTAATATTGAGGGAAAAGTTCTAGTTTCACTAGCAGATTTATTTGATATTTTCCTGTGTTGTAAATGAAATAATCTACCAAAGGAAATAGCACCTATTCATCAATTTTAAAGAAGTATTTACTTAAAACAAGCTTATATTTCTTGCTAAAAAGTCACTTACAAGTTAGTTTCATTTAATTTCTTGTGCACTAATATATTTGCAACAGAAACTAGACAAGAAAATTTGGTCAAATTTTGTGTTTTTGCAGTGTAAATCGACAAGGTCAATGAATAATTTTATAGTGGATTTTACACAAACATTGATCACAGGAAGCATCAAGTAGACAAGGACTAAAAAATATTTTAATAAATATTATAAATTTGTAAGTAAAAGTGTGATTTGGGGCAGGGAAATTATACATTAACTGCAGTTTAATATGTAATTTCTGGAGCAGGTTCCTAAAGAGAACCATCCAGGATTAGAGAGTCGATTTTAAATAAACAGGAAACCAGTTTAATTAGATAAAGTGGAAAACATTTGGATCATAAAAACACAGGTGAAACGTTACAGTTCCCACTAAATCTGTGACTATCTGATGCTTTTTGTTCTAAACTTCTCTCTACAGTTAAAGAGGATCTATTTTGCAGAATTCACTTTTTGCACATTTTTGTACGTCGGCTGTTTCTGAAAATCAACACAAGCTCTTTCAGTTAATGTTTTTGGTGTCTGGAAAACGAGCCGTTTCAAAAACCTCCCGATTTTTAGCTCACATTTGCAACAAGATGTTTAACTGCACATGTTGCTGCTGGTGGCCATCAGCTGACCTGGATTTAAAGTGACAGCGCACTGAAACAGCTGACCCGACTGAAACCTCATGATCTGAGAATGAATTTGTGAGCATGTTTTGTGAAGCACAAAGCCTTAACCTGAAGCATAACAGGTCAGAGTTTGGACGCTGATCAGACTTAAAATCAGCTCATGGAAACAATGGATCTCCTTCCTTCTGCTGGAGTAAAAACCCAAAATCATGGTGGATGTTTTCAAACTGGAAGGGATTATCCGTGTCGTTAAAGTCAGACACGTCCCAATCCCTGGTTGGCATGGTAACCAAAGCCTGAACCGGCGTTTGTGTGGCCTTCAGCTAACTCCTTACCACATGAACATAAATAAAAATGTTTCACAGCTGAACGAGTGAACAGAGAGATGAAGGAGCCGTGTGAGACGCAGAGCTGAGCTCTGCTTGTGGTTTACAGACTAACGCCTCTGCGCACTTCCTCCCTGCGTCCAGCGAACTTTAATCATCAAACAGCGAGAGAAACTCACATCTGAACATCAAACATTCATCATCACCTACTTCTTCAACGGCTGTTTGTTCATTTAAGTGTGGCTAAAGGTTAATTTAAAGACGACGACTTCGAAAAGAACTCAATCCTGATCAGGTTTTCACTCAATATGTGGATGAATTTCACATTAATTTGGATTTATCTGAATATTTTTACACACATCCAGAGTTGGGATTAATCACAATTAATCACAAATATTCACGATTAATCATTTCAGCTCTAATTCAATCACATTCATAACTTTACATGTTGGGTATTTTTCAGTCTTGGTATTTCAGCACCTCAAACGCGCCTCCATGTTGTTTGTTTCCGCCGTGTAATCCCCTACCTGTCCAGCAGGGGAGCCGTCATCTCTCGGAGGACATAAGCAGTCGGCACAGGCCATCACCGCTCGCTGCATCTTCAGAACGTTTTATTTTCAGGAGTTTAAAGGTAAAGAGCTAGAGTAACTAGAGCTGCTGGATGTAGAATAATAAATAAATGAATCGATCCTCCAGCTGCGAGTTGGAAAAATCGTCTAAATTTGTCAATTTTTTAAACATTATGTAGTAGAAAGCAGTTGTTCTGCTGCTGCTGTTTGTTTCTGACTTAATTTTGATCCATTATGTTGGTTTATTTTCAGTTTCTGTTCAAAAATATCAGTTTGAGATTAAGAGATTAGGATCTAAAAGCCAAATAAAAACGGCTTCACAGCAGAAATATAAAGCTGGAGCTCATTTCAGATTTCTGCTTCCTACCTGCACCATCAGTTTGACTGACAGTTTTACTGTTAAAGTCAAACAGCAGCGGAGCGACGGAGGAGTTAAAAGATTAATCCTTCAGATTAATCGGTAAAAATTAAAAACAAAGAAGAAGTTTCCACAAATCCAGACAAAAACCAGAACGACTTCTGCTGAAAAATCAGCTGTTTCTCCTCCTCACTCTCTCACTTTTTCCTCCTCTTCCCATTTCGTCGTAGCCGGAGGGATTAAAAAAAAAAACACGCCCCCCCAGGTGCATCATGGGAAAATATTTGGAGATTAGAAAAGGTCCTGGCAGGAGAAACGGAGCTGAAAAACGGAAATTAACTCAGCTTGTTCTCCGATTTACACATCCACCCATCCATCCATCAATCCAATGGGTGTGTGTGTGTGTGTGTGTGCGTGCGTGCGTGCGTGTGTGTGGGAGTGTGTCTGCGTGTATGTGTGTGTTGGAGATTAATTTAGAGAGAAATCAGTCAGTTTGTGCTGGTTTTACACATCCTCATCATTAATCCTCTTACATACACACAAACACACAGCCTTAGTAAAACACACACACACACACTTACTGAGGAGTGTGACCTTAAATCATCCTCTCTGTAAACTCTGACTTCCATCCTGCTGTGATGCTGCAGCTTGGGGTCGATGCTGCAGCAAATCGACGCTCGAAACTCGCCGTCCTCTGACCTCTGAAAATACGGCAAGCCAACGAGATTTTAATCACGTTCATTTTAAAGCCTAAAACATACAGGAATGTGTGTGTGCGTGTGTGTGTACCTTGACTATCTGAGTGCTGCAGAGCTTCCTGACGTCGTAGGGGTCGACTGTAGAAACGTGTATTTTGACTCTGGTTGCTGCGGCAACCGTGACTTGACACTCTGTTTTTATTTTTTACGAAAAGAGAAGTTAAGTCAAGTCAAAGTTTATTTATAAGGCACATTTGCAACAGCCTCAGTTGACCAAATCGCTTCACAACAAACATCACAGGCAGATAAATGACAAAATAGAAACAAAATTAAGTTTAGTAAAACTAATAAGACGAATATAAAATTGGCAGAGATGCCAAAAGCTAACAGCAGGAAAAGAAAAAGGAAGTTTGTTTTGTTCTTGATCTGATTTAAATGAAGTAAAAAGAAGATAAAATCATGAATCTGTGGACGTACCAACATGAAGGAACTGCTGAGACGAGGAGGCACCAGTCAGGGCGCCGCCTTGTGGTTAAAGAACGACATGACATCAGGTTTAAACTCAGCAAACTTTAATTTACTTCACAGATTTAGCGTTTTTCAGGTGCTTCATAAAGTCTTCTAACAGTTCTGATGGCATGTTTTATTTGTTAGCAGCCTGAATGTTTAGTAAAGAGACATTTTCATCTCACATAAACAAACACGGAGTAATAGATGAATTTTCAATCAATCATGTTTTAAGCACCAAAGAGTTAAAAAGGTATAAATATATTTTCAATGAGGCTCTTTAAAAGTATGTGTACAATTTTAAATAGATGTTTGCATACAAAATAGACCGGAATAAAGTGTATTTGCTCATTTACAGCAAGGAAATGCAAAAAACTAAATTCACTATGTCCACTAGGGGGCTCTGTAGTTTTACAAAGAAAGTTGGGAAATATTTCAGTCATCAGATGTTGAAAAATGGAGGCGAGACGAAAACAGAAACTTACGATCAGCTGCAGGATTTTCCAGGTTGTTATTCTGCTCGCTGTGTGGCGCCGCAGCGTGGCTGTCCATCAGCGTCCGCAGGTTGGCGAATCCTCGCCTCAACGAATCCATGATGGCGGGACGATCAGCGCTCCTAAAATCAAACAGGAAAACCGTAATTTAATCTGCCTCAGATTATATTTAGTTACATTTATTTAAAATGTTTGGATGGTTTTTCTAATTATTGTGTCACCATTAAGATTTAATGTAAACATGGAGATGAAGTTACTGAAATGCAGAGTTCGGCAGTAACTAGTCACATTTACTCAGTTACATTTATTTGAATAGCGTTTAGGAGTATTTTTACTACTCTGTACTATGAAGTATCTCTTCTCTTATTTGAGTAAAATTTCTGAATTTTCTACCCAATGAATGAAAAACAAACATGTTTTAACCAAATATTAACCACAGACTCACACCTGCAGTTTTAGAAGTTTTTTATTTAAAGAAACTGATTTGCAAAAATTTTCTTAAGCATGGTGTTATTTTTTGTTACTTATATGAATTATTGTCATTTTTGACCTTGAAATACCAAAATTGCCACTTAATTTTATATTGTCGTCCATCTGATGGTGTAATTTTTTATATAATAAATGATAATTTGATCAGTTAATCCACTCAGCTCCTTCAGACTAGCCAGCAGCAATTAGCAAACACCTGGTGGAACTGCTGAGCTCATTACAGGAGCTGCTTCTCTGGTAAAAATGTTAAAGGGTTAATAGAGGAGCCATGCTGGGATGACTTCCCGGAGGCGGAGCTTCAGAAAGAGCAGGAGCTTCTTAAAGAGACAGAGGCCCAATTTCAAGTCTTTAAATCAGGAAGTTAAACTTCTTTTAAGCCACCTCAGATATATTTAGCATTTTTTTTAACAACTGAAAGCAACACAGTTATTTGACTTTGTTATAAAATGTCTCTATATGGCTGGAAAACACTCTCACCACTCACCTTATTTACTCACGTAAATAAAGAGGTGTAACCCATTTCCTGTTCTTGTTGCTGAGAATAAATATTTTTTATTTAAATGATGAGCGTATGAGAATGCTACAGTTCATACGAACATCAGGTTGTTTTGTTTTAGTAAAATTTCCATGTTTAATTTAGAATTAGCTAGAAAAAAGTAGAATAGATTTATTTTGTCATGTTTCTGCTTCCAGCTCAGTGGTTCTGGTAAACCCGGTTCCTCTGGTTCTGTTTTATTCACTCACAATCAGAACTCTGCCATCTTCTGGAAGCTTCCTGACATTACATCTCTCCACCGGCTCTCCAGCCTGTAAAGACAGTTCAGAGACAAACGTCAAGCTGGATTAGAGTTCAGAGTTTTGCTTTTGTTTGAATTAATCTGGTCTTTTATTCAGGAAGCCGATTCGTTTCAGGCAGACGGGATTTTCCAGGAAGTCGGGCTGGACTGAGTCAGAGGATGAAAACAGATGAGATGGAAAAGAAAAGGAAAATTAAAGGGAAATTACAGCAACAATAAAACATTTCTTTCCTCATCCGATCAGAAACTTTTGATTCTATGAATCTGACAAACAGAACTAAAAATAACTTCCTGGTTTGTTGACCAGAACAGAGAAGATTTCAACTTTATTTACCATTAAATGAGAATATGAAGTAAATCTGGACAATCCGCTGAGAATCAGAGCCTGGAGCAGATTTATCCAGCAAAAATAGACCAATACAATTTTTATTCATTTGTTTTTTTGTATATTTGTCGCTCCTTAGTGTTTACAGATTTTAAAAATGGCCATTTTTATTAAATTTGACAGAAACATGTCAGACTTTAGAGCAGGGGTGGGCAATCCTGGTCCTCGAGGGCCGGTGTCCTGCAACTCTTAGATGTCTCCTTGGTCCAACACACATGAATCCAATAACTGAATCACCTCCTAAGTGCAGTCAGGTTCTCCAGAGTCCTGCTAACGACCTCATTATTTGACTCAGGTGTGTTGAAGTAGAGCTGCATCTAAAAGTTGCAGGAGACCGGCCCTCGAGGCCTGGAGGTGCCCACCCCTGCTTTAGAGGAAGGTTTAAAAGACATTAATTCAGTCAGTATTAAAAAAACTGTATAATAAAGAAAATTACATTATTAATGTTACATTTTTATTTATTTATTTATTTTCCTTTCTTTTACATTATTCTATTCTATATTTCGAACATTGCAATCTTTCCCTGTGTATTATTCATTACACCGCTCTGCCATTAACTTCTAAAGTATTACATTTTGTAAAATTTGCTTCCTTGTGAATCAATAAAGACAAAAATAAAAAGAAGAGAGAAAATCACAAATTAAAATCAATACAATCATACAGAAATAACAAAAATCAAAACTTAATAGGAAATAACAGTTTGAATCAATAAATCACATTAGATTAGAAATGAAACTAAAACAATAGATGCAAATTAAATAAATTGGATTGATTAAGAATAAAGTTCAGTCATATTAGATATAACAATGTAATCAGACTAAAATGAATAAGTAGCTGAATAGATCAGAATAAAGTAGAACGTGTTTTTCCTTCATGGCCGACCTGCAGCGCCGTTTCCAGATGTTTCAGCCGAACATCAGCTGATGAAGGTTCGCCCTCATCTTCCTCACCGCTCCACCATCATCACAGGCCTCATTGTTTCCTAAAGAAACAGAGAAGTCTGCATAAATACGTATTTACATAAAATAGAGAGAAAGAGAAGTTCCTCACTTTCATACACGGCAAAAACACAAAGTTTAGTCTAGTTTCTACTCCAAATATCTTAAAATAAGACAAAACTAACAAATAACCTTCAGAAAGATAAAGGAGCTTCTTTTAAGTCAATATTTCCTTAATATTGACAAAACTGACAAATTCCACTGACAGAATATTTCACTATAACAAAGGAAAAATGTCTCCTTATAAGTAAAATTATACGTTTTTGTTTCAAATGTTTATAAAAATGTTCACATTGATAATTTTTTACTAAAGGAACAAACAAAATGATTCCTGATTCCTGATTATAATTTTCTGCAAGCTGTAAAAAATATAAGTTAAAAACATTGCAAGACATTTTGAACAATATCTGCCAACTGAAATGGATCAATGGTGAGTCCTTTTTAAAATATGCACCTGTTTATTATATTTTTGTCCCATTTAAATAAATGGAAAAAAGTTTTCTAAACCTTTGAACCACTTTCAGAACAAACCCAAAGTAAAACTCCTGCATTACCGTGTTACAAATGTTGATGCACACATCAACATTTAAAGGTGTTATATTTACTAAACTATCAGAGATTTTAACCAAAATGTAATAAACTGACTTTCTACTCGTGACAGATACAGCCGCTGTTAATAGTTAATTTGTTGTCAAAACCAGGAAACCTCATCCCGAACCGGCCTAGATCTGATAGAAACCCATTTTGCATGACGTTAAATGTTCAAAATGTTACAATCTGACAGTTATGAATGCTGATTTTAATTACTTACCGGGTTTAAAAGTTGTTTTGAAGATGATAACAAACTTGTCCGCTAGCTTTGAGTTTGGACTTGAAACTGTAGTAAAAATATGAAGTATCGCGAGAGTTGCCATTTCCTGGCTGAGCATTCTGGATTCGGGCCACAAGATGGCGCACTAGTAGATTTTCTTACTAAATTTCCATTAAAGTTAAGAACAAATAACATTGCTGCATCTTTAAAGTTTATTTTTTATTAATAATTTCATTTGCTACTGTTTGTTTGTAAACTATTGTTTAATTTAGTGCTGATCTCAGTTTGTCTTTTAATTTGTCTTTGTAAGAAAATACAAATGAAGTGTTTTGAAGAAAAAAAAGAAGAAGACGAAAACCAAACGCACCGCTTGTGACCTGCGCACGTCACCGCCCCTCAGGTGAGCCCAGGAGCATAAACCGAACACTTCCTCCAACAAACAATCCTTTCAGAAGACACTTCCGGGAGATGTGTTGGTCGCTTTTTTCGCTACTTTTAGTCTTAACGCTAACTTTTTAGATCAACTCTATTATAATTTTCCAAAATAAAAAGTTAACAAAGACGCAGGAATAACCCGACACATAGAAAGTTGAAGACAAGAGGACGAAAATAAGGAGGAGTCGCTTTTTTTAACAGGTAAAAAAAAAGAAAAAAAAAGCTCGTAGGTGTGTTGTCGCCTGTTTGGTTGTGGTTTTGTTAATGTCACAAAGAGGATTTCTTTTGTTAACGGTCATAACGGTCGACCTACCGCTGCTAAAGCTCAGTTTTCTGTGAATTTGTGAATTAAAGTTTGTGGGGAAGTAAAGTTGAGAGGATCTTTGAAACGAACACACCCATCATGGAAACTGCACTCAAACTGTTTTTATGCTTCATTCAAATATGCATGCAAAGTTTTTAGTGTCTTTAAATCTTGTTTCTGCCTGTCTTACTGAGTCTTGTGAGGTACATTTAGGAGATTTGTGTAAAGATAATCTTTGTGAGTCTGTGTGGAGCTTAAATGTTGCAAAATTATTGTAAAAAGTTGTCAAAAACCTTAAAAATACTGGAGATTATTTTATAGATTGTTACAAGGAAGTCTGGGTGATTGAAGGTCAATATAAGGAAATGAAGGGCTGATTCAGGACCCCTGCGTAATGCTCATTATATAGTAACCTGTTGCTCTGCATGTTCTGGTTTTAAAGTGTCATCTTTTAATAAACAAACAAACCCTCTGAGAGGAAGTAGCAAACATCTTCCTTATCATAAACAGAAGTAGATAAAATACCTGCAGGGCTCAGTTTGTTCCTGTCATGGTTTTATGCTGCAACCTAATGTCTCAACACACAGTTGCTCAATAACAATAGATGTGATCCATCGGGATAGTATGTAGGTCAAAGGTCAGCGTTATGAGTTATAAAAGATGACATCTGTGCACTTTGTACTCAGCCTATATAAGGTTTTTATTAGCAGTGACAGGAAGGTGCAGACGTGGGCCCCGTGGGCAGACGTGGCCAGAATCATCGAGTTTAAAGCATTTATGGACCGAAGAAATAAAATTTAAACTAAGCAAATAAAGTAGTCTGATTTTTGTTTTTCTTTTTGTAGAAAAGGAATGTCATTCATCACAGGTCCAAAATTTACAAAGGAATTTTAATGTTTGGTGTGTTAAAAGAAAGGCATTCAGTTTTCATATTTCAGGTTCAACTGAGCTAATTTATTTTGTTATAAAAGCAGGATTTGGGTCACTTTCTTTTAAAACGCTCGTTATATTTAGCCAAGTTTAACAAAAATTCTATAAAAGTTGATTTGAATGAAGCAAAAGTCGGATTTTCAGTAAAAGTCTCTGGATAAATGTGTTGTTTTTTTTGTTTTTTTAAGAAAAAGAATATTGTGTTTGTTAGAAAATGTCCGCTGTAAGTCAGTCCGAGGGCCACAAATGGCCCCTGCACCACATGTTGGACTCCCTGGTGCAGACGTTACCTCAGGTCCGTCCTGTTGATGAAAGCAGGTTTTAACCCATCATAACTGCAGGGGTTGCTGGCCGCCGCTGACTCACAGCGTTTACCAGCATTGGACGGTTTAATGGATGTAGATGTGGATGTAATTTGCTTTTAGGCCACCAGAGGGAGACGTATAACATGATGTTTGAGAGAAATTAATGAGGATTGGACTCAGAAATGAGGTAAATAATTTATATCTGAATGAGTCATGAGTCGGTTTATTGACTTGATATACAAAATATAATCTAAAAACAAACCAAAACAAATTGTTCTTGAAGCAAAACTTATGCTTCAGTTAATTCCCATTTATTGTCACACACTCTGATCTTTATTTGGTAAATAAATGAGTTACAGATTATAAATTAAAGCTGGTTGAAGTTACTCCTGATGCCTGAAAGCAGTGAAATGGTCAGAACTCTGATCTCATCTCAACTTACAAATAAATCTTGTTTTTAAACAGATGCTATTAAATTTAAGTCATTTTACAGAGAAGGCAGAAAGTAACAGACCTTTAATTAAAAGTTTTAAACTTTGAACTTTTTCTCTTTAGACTTTAAGAAGATGATGGAGGCATCGGAGGAGAACGGAGACGTCGCTGCCGCGTCCAACACCACAGAGGAAGAAGAAACTCCTCCAGAGGACAGACGTCACGACGATGTGGACTTAAAGGTGAGACCAGAGTGTGGACCAATGAGACGGAGCGACTGAAGTCCGTTTCCAGGGAACGGAGTTTGATGTGACCTTTGCTGAGGCGCGCATCAGGGCTGCGTCATCACGCGTTCCTCCTTAATGCGACGCAGCAGCGCTGAGTCTTTCTGCTGCTGTGAGGACCGACCTCGCCCTGCTGCGTTTCTGCTGCAGAATCTAACGCACCAACATCTGTGTCAAATGGCTGTTCCTGTGACCTCTGACCTCCCTGACCCCAAGCTGAAAGCAGCAGGGAGTAATATCCAGTATAGCAGCCCTGATGGGTTTTGATCCGGGCTAACTCCATTGGTTAGCTTCATGACCCTTGAACTTCTTACTGCTGGGGCCGTGATGCATTCAGAAACAGTTTGAAATTAGAGGTTAGAGATAAAAAATATTCTGTTTTTTGTTTTATTTTGGCTTCGTTATTTTAGTTTTAACAAACTGAGTAACAGTAACAACATTCAGCTAATTGAAGGGAAGCTAACTGCTAACTTAGCTTCATCTAATATGGATGAGGGTCATGGCAGCCCCGGGTTGTAAAGGTCACACAGACAGTGGGAAGCCTTCAGGTGACGCTGAGGACTAAAACAGTGAAGAAATGAGGATTTATTACAGCTGAAAATGGTTGTTTAATTTTTTTGACATCTCCTTCCTTTTCCTTTACACAATTAGTTTTCATGTTTTTCTTGTTAATCCTCAGTAATTCAGTGTGGTGGCTGGTTGTCCTGTTTTTAACATGTAACATAGTTTAATGTTTATTAAATAAACTTGAATACTTCAGAATAATGTTCCACTTTTTGTTGGTTTTTGCTACAAAAATCCCATAAAATGTGTTGAACTTTGTGTTTGTAGCAGGACTAAATGACAGTTTAATGTGTGAATATGTTGCTTTCTCTCTCTGCAGGAAACAAACAGGAACTCCAACCACACAGGTGAAGACGCGGCTGACAGTTCGACGACGGCCGCAGCAGCAGAGGTCGCCGTGGAAACGGACAAAAGCAAAGATAAAGGTTATTGTTTTTTTCTTTCTGCCAAAAACTGGATGAAAAGTTTTCAGTCTGGTGTTTTGGTTTCATCTAGTCCTTTCTAGAAGGACAGTTTTGTTTACAGAGACTTTAGTTTTTGTTTATTTATTTTGGATATTAAAAATGTCTTCCAGTGCTCAATGTTCATTAGAATTTAAAGTTTTGATAATGTGTCTCAGCATTATTATACTATTACCATGATATTGCTGGAAAATGGCCTCAGAACAACATTATCGTTTATTGCAACAACTTCTGGGGCAATTTATTGTCCAGCAAAATTTATCTTGCCAGCCAGTATGCAAATACAAATATTGATTCAGTAATTGTTTAAATTTATCATCCGATTCATTGTTTTAATGTTTACTGTGACAGGCACTGTCATGACATAAGAATTTTTAAAAAATATGCAGAAATAAAAGGAACATATTTTATAAAAGTTGAATAAAAAGTAAGGCTGATTTCTCCTCTGTCTCCAGAGGTGACGGTCGTCCCCCAGAAACCAAACGGTGGACCTGTGGTCATCGAAGCCGGCAACAAGAACCTGGCCAGCGAGAAGCTGGAGCGAGTCCGCAAGTGGAGCATCAGCAAATACAAGGTGGGCGGAGCCTAACCCAGCAGCTTCGCTCTCGGCTGCCGGATCTGACGGTGCTGTCTCTGCCGCCGCAGTGCACCCGGCAGGCTCTGGCCGAGCGGATGGGCCGCGGCTCCCGGACGGTGGACCTGGACCTGGAGCCGCGCCTGGAGCTGCTCAGAGACGACCGGCAGCGCTACGACCACATGACCAAGCTGGCTCAGACGCTGGCCAGTCAGTTCGCCCAGTTCTCCGTCACCCAGAAGGCGATGGCCGACGCCTTCACTGAGCTCAGCTTCAAAACCAAGAACCTCCACGTGAGTCCAGAGGAAATCCACGACTACAGAAGGAAACACTGGCTAGGTTCTGTTCAACTGTTTGAAATGTGTAAAAATGGAAAATCAACCTGTATTGGTGGGCAAACCACCTCAAGCAAACAAAGTCTTTTTTTTTTATTTTTCCATTTCCATCAACCTTCAAAAACGTTGATGCTACTGAGCGAAACTTCCTTCTTCACGAAATGTAAACAAAAGTGGACTAGAGTCTGACGTTAGCAGTTGTAGGATTTCTCTTTTGACTTTGATAAAAGACACCGAATCATTTCTCCCACTAGCGTTAGACTCATGTTTGGTTGGTTGTATTTACCCAGAATGCCATGCGCTGTAGTCTGCTTCCTGCTTTTAGAGCGATCTCTGGTCTGCTTGGCGTTCACAGATGAACTGAAACCGCACCAGAGTTCGCTTCAACCGAACCAAGACTGAGATCAGAGTTAAATTGTTTGATTCTTCATCCAAACAGTAGAGTTAAATTACAGCCTGGTTCGACCCTGGTGTGGTGAATGCACTGCAATATGTCAGACTTGTTTGTTTACACGTCGTATCATCCTAACGTGGCCGCAGGTGGAGTTCGACATGAACGCTGAGGCTCAAAAGTTTCTGTCGAAGAGCACAGAGACCCTGCAGTCGGCCATCAACGCCTTCACCTCCGACATGAACACTCTGGTGAACAAAACCATCGAGGACACCATGATCAACGCCAAGCAGTACGAGGCTGCCAGGTGGGTGGAGCGCATACCTCCACAGAGCTGCAGAGGGCGCTGTACTCTGGTAACAGGTCTTCCTGTTTACCCCTGTGGTGTCCAGGATCGAGTACGATGCGTACCGAGTGGACCTGGAGGAGCTGAACATGGGCCCACGGGACGCCATCACCCTGCCTAAGCTGGAGCAGGCCCAGAAAACCTTCCAGGGCCAGAGGGAGCGGTACGAGAAGGTCCGGGACGATCTGTCCGTCAAAGTCAAGCTGCTGGAGGAGAACAGGGTGAGACGGAGCGCCAGGTTCTGTTTATGAGACAAGTTACACAACCAACAACCCACAGCTTTAGAGGTGACCCATTATGTTTCCTTGAACAGGCTGTATAAAACCTGTTCGTTACTTTTTTAAAATATTATGTTTATTAGATATTTTGAAAATTTATATAGATCAGAAAAAAGAACAAAACTTATACAGCACAGAAAACAAAAAACAGGAGGCATGCACATAAATTACAGCAATTATATGAGAAAATTAACCAATTTATATATAAACTGAAAGATATGCATCATTTGGGTTCACATTATTGGTCTTTTCATTTTGAAATATTCAAGAACACGTTTCCATCTTTTTCTAAAAGCATAGTTTCCCATTCAGACAACATCTCAATATTTCTCTGTTAGTTACTTTGTTTTGCACAATATAATTTTTAGAAGAGATTTTATTCTGCTCAGTTCTGCCTGTGTTGAGCAGAATGAGCTGTTTTAGTGCTCTGTCACTTTAAATCCAAATAAGCTGCTGCTGGCCACATAAACTCAACATTTACACTCACACGTGAAAATAAGCAAGTATAAAACCATACAGCTTTGAAAAACATTAGTAGAGCCTGCTGCACAACCAACAGGAATGCAGGAAGTGGTTTCTAGATGGTAAGTCAACAACAAAACACTTGTCTTTTCCAGCAGCCATTGTACAGTGGTAACACCAGCTGTCCAAACGTGCTGGAGCTCACCTTGGGTTGCTAGGTGACGGGCGGAGTGGAAAATATAAGCACAAAAACGTGCAAATTTTGCATAATGGGATCTCTCTAAAGACAGAACAGCAGCTGATTAACCGTGGCTTCGCTCTCTGTCTGCAGGTGAAAGTCCTCCACAACCAGCTGTGGCTGCTCCACAGCGCCGTCGCTGCTCACTGCTTGTCATGTCACAGTTTCCTGGAGAAAAACATGCAGCAGGCCTTCGAACACCTAAACGTCGCCAGCGCTGACGCCCCCTCCTGGCTGGAGGAAAGCTGACAAGCATCAGGATCAGTTTGAGAGACTTTAAGATGCGTTTGAAAGGTTTCTGTTCGCTTTATGCTGGGAGTTAGAAGGACAGTAATTTATTTTGGGTGATGAAGGGGACATTTGGGTTTGATATGAAGTTGTTCTGAAATTATTTTTGTTTAAAAATGTAATTTTCCGTTTTTGAATCACATAATTAATTGGAAGAAACCAACAGACCCTCTTTGTTTCCTCGGCCTGGATTCAAACCGTTGTTCTGTAAATCCGTTAAATCCTCTGAGAGGCGCTAAGCTTCTCTTTGAACTCTGAAAATCTGCTGCCGCTGCAGTCAGAGAGTCACAAAAGGTGCCTGAACGCCACGGCTGGAAAACAACTTCAGAGTGGATTAGGGATCTCAGTCCTCAGCCGACTAAAACCGCACACCTCTGTTTGCATTTCCTTTATTAGAAAACTAAACACTCAGGCAGCTCTCCGACTTTACAAGCTGGGAAACATCTTTTTAATACATTTCCTTTATTCACCTCAGGAAAATCATTTTCAAGAGCCGAACCCAAATTCAGATGAGAAGTTCAAGGTTTACAAAGATTCAGTAAAATATTAACAAACCTCCATTCTGACTCCAGACAGCTGAGGAAATGAAGGTCTGGCTTGTTCACAGATTCAGATTTAAAACCTTTACCAGCTTTACAGCGACCAGTAGTTTGGATCGAGCCATAACTCAGATGCTGAGGTTTATTTTGAACCCGAGTCTTGGTAGCACTCGTTTTGGTGGACCAAAGATTAAAATGTATTTTGTATTCATGTTGATGACGACGTCTTCTTCTTTGTTAAAGTTTAGCTTTGTGTTTGATGTGATTAACATCCAGTTAGCTGTTCTGTTGGTCGCATAACAGAAAAATCTGAAATTCTTTAATCTCTTTCTTCTTCTATCAGCTAAATTAAATGTTGCTGGAAATTTTCCAATGATGGTTTAATCTTGAGCTACGTATTTGTGTTTGCTAAAGATGGTGGGATGAAAACTGTTTCCTTCAAGTGACGTTTCATTTTTATGTTTATTTAGTGCGACTCTTCAAGCACAACTTTAATTCCAATAGTATGAGACTTTGTGATTTATCTTATCCTTATTTACCAGGTTTAATAATAAACTAACACAACTTATTTTCTACAAACCAAAAAGGGAAACAGAAGATCACCATATGCTGATGATGTTCAACTCTTTGTAGTTTTGTTAACAGCAGGTTGAGCCGTTTTAAAGATAATTCAGTAACATTTTTCTCTCTAGTAACAGTCTGTATAACACCAACTAACTAAATATGGGAAAGTTTATACTTTATCTCTCCTTGGTGGTGGTTAAAGATGCCTTCACTGAATGGAGACCCTGCTATGTTTTCAATGATTCATGAGAAACGTAGCCGGATCGCTGCAAACTTGGAAACCTTTAGACGATGTGGATGCTGCGATGCCTTCAGTTCTCACCAAACCGTGTTGCTTTGTTTGTGGCAGATACAACCGACCCAAACCGCACCGTTCTGCTCCTCCTTCAGTTGGAGGTCATCGGGTCAAGGGTTCGGTTTGGGTGAAGCTGCTGGCGACACACAACATGGTCCGTTGATTGGAGGACAAAAACAACGTTGCTGATTGGGACAAAGACAACAGATAGTCGTCACTCTAGTATGACGTAACGTCAGTGGTTTGGGTACCAAACCAGTCCGTACCGTACCGCTCAATGGAAACAAGGCAACTGTGCTTTCATATCCAAAATGAAGCCTCACATTCTAGAAAATCAAACCTCCTAGGAAAGGTTAAAAGCTTTGTGGAACGCTCCATAAAACATAATTATGTCCCCAAAACGCAATCTCCAATAGTATCTCTAGTGGTCAGCTATCTCAGACCAAAAACCTGGATTTAAGCTTGATTTACTCCCAGAAGTCCATCTGGACAATCCAGGTTTGATTCCAGAACATCAAACTGATCTGCAGAACGTTTTCTCCATGTTTAGAACCGTTCTGGATCTAATGAATCCTTAGTATTTTTCTTATAATCCCCACAAAAACTCCATCAAGACTCTGCAAAGACCGACCATGTTTTAATGTTTTTGTGCAGCTTGGTCTTCATTCAGTTTCCAGCTTTTTCTTAAATTCTGACATTCCAGATCATTCCCAGCTTTCAGCACTTTGTTCAGTTTAATCTGTACTCCAACGTAAAATCCCAGTTTATTTCCAGGCTGTCATTGTTGGAGTGAACAAGTAAAGTATTTGTTTCATTAGAAGATTTCAGAGTCTTTGTCTGAGATTTTCTTCAGCACCAAATCTTTAAGTTGGGAGCAAATATGGACCAAAATGTCTTCTTTTTATGACAAAATTATTGATTTAAGTTGGAAAAGATTTAGTGAGTTATGTTGTTTCCTAATGTCAAACTTTTATGTGCTTTACACGTTTCTTATGACTTTTCTGTTATGTTTGCTCTTGTTTCTGAATGTATTTCTTTTTTTCTGTCCTTCACCTCGAAAGTAAGACAAACTATGCAGAAGCTGTGGATTCTTGTGTGCAATAAAGTCCTGACTTTATTTATGCTTAAGCTGCCAATATGTAACAGCTGCCTTGAATAAATGACACCTTTATGGGAGAGATTTGTTTTAATTTTAGAATATGACAGGAAACCTTCCAGATTTAAACAGTTATATTTTCAGGTAATACATTCTTTATTTTGTGACTCCCAAACTATTATTTTGATGTTTGACTTAATCAGTTTATATTCTTGTTTCAGTATTAACTTTAAATTGAAGTGGGATTGGTTTCTTTTTGTGACCTAAACTCTTCATAAAAGTTCATTATGAAGCAAAATGACATAATTTTCATAAAACTAAGTGAAAAGTTTGTTAGAATCTGCTGGAAATTAATTAAAATAAATCAACATTCTTTGAGCAAAGGGTGAAAACTTTTTAACTTTTCTTCAAATTTGCTTATTAAAACACACAGTAAGTTCTTAATGCAGCATTATTTCATCAGTTTCTTTGACTTGTATAAGTTTAATTATTTCTTGGCTGTTTACTCTTTGGGATTTTTCTCATCCTGGTAAAGTTCTGGATTGTTTTCCAGTTTTCCTGCATCAACAGCAGGGTTGGTGGTTTCCTGGGATTTCTCTGTCGGAGTCAGGATGCGTCAGCATTTCAGCTACTCGCATCAAACAAATTATCATGACAACCCTTATCTAGAAAGATTCACAGAGGTTAAAGTCTAGAAAATTTTTACGTTTCTTGGCTATTATTGATAGAAAGCTGTGTGTTTAGCCTGTAAAATACGCCAACAAACTACTGACGACACGTTTCTGTTGGGTTTTATGTTATTTCAACATGATTTGTTCAACTGATTGGTTTTTAGGTACTTTCCACTAGCATATTTTGGATTTCACTTTCATCATCATCTTCTTTCACTTTTAAAGTCTGGAGACTGCTCTGTGAAGAAAACATTAAGGTGTTTACAGGAAAACGGGAAACTTTTCCTGTTTCTAAAATAATCCTTACATTTTGGACCTTTGAAATGCTTTGGATCAAACATTTTTGATTTTTGCATTAGTTTATCCATTTTAAAGATGGGAATATATTTTAAAATATGTCAAATCTGAATCATGATTTGCTTTAACATGATTTCCACTCACTAGGTGATAAAATGACAGACCATTATCTGTGAATCAAAAATAATTTGCAAGATATTTTTTGGCAACTATTCAAGGTTAATGTCAATTTAGTAAACAGTATTCTTGGTAATCAAATGCTTCTAAAAATCAAATGAAGGCTTTGAACATTTTAATAAAGAGTGATAAAATATGTTTAAATATGTATCCTTCAATCTGTTGTCTAAACTCACTTATCTTATCTGGGGCGTCACAGCTTAGTAAACATCGTTCCTGTTAACGTAGTCTGGATTTCAAAATGGCGGCGCCCATAGCCATTGTTTGCAGTACTTTTACGAACATTGTTTTAAGCTTTACTTTCCATAAGCTAACAGCACTTTAAGTTTATTGAGTTTAGATTTGCAGGAGCTACATATAACATTGATTTTAAACGCATTCTTACATGTGTCTTTTGAAAAAAAAAAAAAAAAAAAAGCCCTGGTCCATGTTCTCTATCAAAGACCATCTAACAAAAGGGGATTCCTATGAGTCATCACTGTAATGACAGCAAAGCAGAATCTAAAAATAAAACAGCATAAATTGGAGGGGTTTTTCAAGTGTTCATCAAAAACAGCAAAACAAAAATGCCTTTGAGCTCTATCAGGTTGTTTAAGTTTAATTCAGGACTAAAACAATAAAATGACATCAGAGTGCCGTAGAGTTTGTCTTCCTTTATACGGGAGATGAATGCAGTGATATTTATGTAAGGGTTTGGTCTGTTTGAGCCTGTGCTGCTTTAGAAACACACGATTATCCACCTGGCAACAACAACAAGCGGTGCTACTGTTGGTCAGTTTGAGTCTGTGAATGCTCTGCATGCAGGCTCATTTCCTCCAACAGCTCAAGCTGAGAATGGAGCTTTACAAAGAGCGCCTCATTACACAGAAAGTTCTGTTCAAAGTGTCTAAATGGACTCAAAGAGGAAGAGTTCATGAAGCTGCCAAGACTGTTAAAGCTTAAAATGTAATTGCTGTTTTTTAACCATTACTTGTTTTACATTAATGTGCCACGCTTTTAGACAAACTAATACCATGTTGTTCAGATCGCAAATGGCTCAAGGAAGTAGGAAGTACTCCTGGATCAGTGAATTTGCTGACTCTGAGCCAGGCTCTGGTTCTGTTGGGAGTTTCTTCCTGGTTAAGTGGGAGTTTTCCTTTTTGCTGTCACACATGCTCAGTATGAGGAATTGTATTTTTTGTGGGGAAATAAAATACTTTTAAGAGTACTTTTACTTGCACTCTACTTTTGACTTTTACTTTAGTAATATGTACTTTGTTAATTGAATCCCTAAAATAACAGCATTTGCACATAACTTTATATTTAGCTGATTTGAAGGCATAATTTTAAAATATTAAATCAGATTTTACAATCAGTAATTGAGTAATTTTTTCAAAAGCTACTTTTTATCTTTATTTGAGTAAAATTATTTTTAAAGTAGTTCTATTCCATCCTGCTGGTATCCTGCTAAATATCGGTTCAGTGGTTCTTCAAGCATTTTTCAGTTCATAAATGTTTGATTTTCTTCATTAACTGTTGTGTTTCACAGCTTAATATTTAATTTTCTTCACTTTCCGTTGATTATAGAGAAATTTGTTTTTTGTTTACATGTTTTCTTCTAGGAATGAAGCTTATCTGGACCGAACACCCCCGGGTGGGCGGGTCCGATAGAGCCAGAGAGAGAGTGGGAGAGCGCGGGGGTTCCCTCCGCCTGAGTCAGCGCGCATGCGTGATTCCCTCCGCTGTCAGCTTTTCTCCCGCACGCGCTGGCAGGTCTGGATCAGACCGTTGGAGACTTTGGCAGCAAAACTCAGACCGTGAATCCGGGAGTCGGTATTTTTCCCCTGTTTCTGGCTCGTTTTAAGGATTAAAACCAGGAGGAAAAGCGACACATTCATTCCGGTAGGTTTTTTTTTATGTTTTAACGTCTGTTTTTAAACGCTTTACATTTGATATGTTATTTAAAACATTGATGTTTGGTGACACTGAGGAAGTGCGCAGGTGTGTAACTTCATATTTGATCAATTGCTAGCTTATTTGACAACAATAACCGTAATTTATGAAACATGCTTTATGTTTTTAAACACCTTCGAGTTTGAATTTTAGTGTAAATTTAATAAAAAAAATAATAATAATCAGCAGCTTCTTTTTGTATTTTCCCTTTATCTTCACTTCTTATCAGTTTTGTTTTGCATGTTATTATAATTATATAGGCTTCTACATTATTACAGCTTAATGAGCCGGTCTGAGCCAAACCCAGACCGGACATAATATTCAGTTTATTTAACGCTGAAATAGTAGCTGTCCTATGTTTTGTTTGGGATTTTTAATGCAAGTTCAACAAAAATGAGTACAATCTGTTTTCTTTTTGCTATATTATTAGCAGGATGGTTACAACACTAAAATAGTAAAACTTTGACATTGTTGACAAATAAATTTGATTCTGACAATAATTTGTATGGAGCTAAATTGGGGCCTTTAAGGGTGTTCCAAAAAAGAAAGAAGGAATCTGAAAAACTAATTTTGAAACTTAAAAACAACTATTTAGTGTGAAAAGCGGTTTGAATTTCAGATATCAGATTGTTTAAGCTTTGAAGCACCAATTATTTAAACCAATAAACGTTTGGCCAAGAAAGTTGTAATCTTTCAAAGTAAAAGTCTTTATTTATCCATCCGTCTGTCCGTTCGTCGGTCCATCCATCCAACATTTATCCATCCATCCATCCATCCATCCATCCATCCATCCATGCAGATTAATCATTGATTGATTGTTGCCCCAGTGATAAACCAAATCATTCTTGTATAAAGTGTTGCTACCACCCCATGGTCACCAGTTTGTGTCCAGTCCTCCCAGTAAGCTCCTTGCCTGGCTCAGCGCTCCAGCTTGACCCCCTGACCCTCCTGTAGCCGCGGCGACCACACTCAAGGGGGGTGGGTGGGGTGACATTTTAGAACTGGGATGCTGTTTGGGGGTGTCTGTCCCCATTGCCACGGTAACCCCAGAGACCAGCGGCTGCTCAGCCAGCTCCTTTTGCTGGGCGGTAATCATCCTGTTTCCCTCCGTCGCAGAACAGAAGCAGAGAAAACGACTTAGAGGGGATTTGCTTTCATTTAGCTGTTTTTTTATGATCAGAGTCCCATGATGCCGTTCAGCAGGCGGCTTGGATGTTTGCCTGGTTCCCGTCCTGTTGGGGGGTCCAGATCCAACGCCAGAGCTTCTTAAACACGTGGTTTTGGTGCTGGTTGGCCGTGAAACGAGGCAGATGGTTTCTCCTCCTCCTCAGGGAGTTTACCTGCTGCTGTGGAGAAGTTTGGATGTTTGTCAGAGAGTTTGCTGCTTACAGCAGAACTCCATGTTGATGTTTTCCTTCTTTATGGAAGTGAGAGAACATTATTCTTAATTTTTGGTTTGTTTTTTGATGGTTTTCTCAGTGTGTGGACTCTTTCCTCACCAATAAATAAAATGTGGACATTTGTGGAAATAATCGCACTGCTGATGAAAATAATAATTACCTGTTAAACTTTGGTGATAAGTTGTTTTAATAAATCACAGGATTTTTTGTCTTCTCACCTTCTTGGCCCATTTGGTCCATATTTGTTGGTACTTTAGTTGGTTTTTGAATGGTAAAATGTCATTTATTCACATAATTTTTATAAGTAGATATATTTATGATTGGCATTATTGTTGGTATTTATTAATTAGATTAATCTGAAATGGATTTATTTCATTAGAAGCATCATCTTCATAAATGTGGATAAATATATTAGGTATTTCTTGGTCGATTCTGTTAACATTATTTGATGCATTTGATGCCAATCAATCATATGTTAACTAATCATGTTTTATTGTGGACTCTATAGTATTTACAGATAATTTGTGAATGGTCTCATAAATAGTCATGATCAACAGCTGTTTAAATACTTGCCTGTACTTGTTTTAGGGCTGCAGCTATTGC